TTGCTATTAGTCATTGCTGGAGAGAATCGGTGGAAGACTGCCGCTCCTCCTGGACTACGTATTGGAACAGCGATCACGCCTTCGTCCGAGCGCCTATATGCCTACGTCTCAATGGACGTAGGAAAAATTTGGCAAAAAAACCACTACGAGTACTACTGGAAAACGAGAACACCAAAGCCGTGTTCAGTCAGAAGTTGGCTAGGCGGTTATCGGAACAAAAGACTGTCACTCATCCACAAGAAGCTTGGTGCCATCTTCAGTCTGCTGTAAAAGCACCGTTGAAGACCGTAGCCGACTCCAAAATAGTGACTATGAAGAGCTAATCGATATCAGCAGCTTCTTCCGAACTAATGGATGCACGTGAACGCCTCCCTGTAGGCTCTGAGTACAATGAAGAGCGAGCGCAACTTAAAAGTAGGCTGAGAAAAGTCTACGCAACGACCGCAAACAGTGGTGGGCAGCGAAGTCTAAAGAGATGGAAAATGCAGAGGCGATTAATAATAGTAGACATTTATTTAGACTTATTAAGGAAACTGGGGGGGAAGGTCGACTGTGGTTAGTGAGACCATAGCGAAGGACGGATCTACGTATGATTCATTAGTAGAGGAGACGACTAGAACGATGGGTAGAATATTTCGAGGAGCAGTTTAACTGGCCTCCTGCCACCATTGCGTTACAGGCTATCCAGCCGGATCCTGAATGGGACATAGAGGTAAGCCCCCCAACACTAGGAGAGTTGAGAAAGCGGTAGGTAACCTGAAATGAGGAAGGGCAGCAGGACCAGACAGACTAACTCCAGAGGTATACAAGGATGGTGGTAAGGTGCTCCTAGTCAGGTTAACGGGATGGTTAACCAGTAAATTGGAATCAAATACGATCCCCTCTGACTGGTCTAAATCACTGATTATCCCAGTCTTCAAGAAAGGCGAGAAGTCCTCTTGTGATAACCACAAAGGAACCAGCCTGACGAACATAGTGTCTAAGATTCTATGTTCAATAATTCTTCGACTCCTGAGTGCAGCTTGGGAACAACAAGCCCAGGAAAAACAGGCAGGCTTTAGACCTAGCCGCGAATGTATCGACCAAATATTCACACTGCGCCAGGTTTTGAAACACACACACGCTTACCAACGTCCGACAATAGTTGTATTTCTCTACCTGAAGGCAGCATTCGACTCCGTTGATCAAGAAGTCTTATGGCTATGTCTCACACTGAAAGGCGTGCCGAGCAAGTACATCAACTTATTGAAGGCTCTCTGCTCGAACGCTTATAGGCGTGTTAGAGCCTATAGTGAGATGTCCAGGGAGTTATGCTCATCGAGTGGTATCCATCAAGGATGCCCACTATCTCCATTCTTATTCAATTTCATCACAGATATTCTTATGGAGGTCTCCCTCTCGTCACCCAATTACACAGACGTTGACCCAATCACAGGTGAATTTTCTTTATATCTAGAATATGCAGATGACATAGTCCTGTTAGGTGAGGACGCTGACAAGATGCAGAGTCTTCTGAACACTTTGAGTGGGAATTTGAGAATGTTTGGGACGCGTCTTCAGCAGTGCCACGGCTAACAATAGAGAGTGAAGTGGTTGAGTGTATTGACCACTTCACTTACCTGGGAAATAGGATCAGCCCTGCTCTGATGGGTCAGTTGCCGATGAAATCTCTGCACGGATACAAAAGGATCGATTGGCTTTTGCCAGTTTACGCTACCAGGATCTCCGATTGTCTATTAATCGTCGAGCGTGTACTGCAAAGCAGTCCGCTCTGTTCTATTGCATGGCTGTGAAACATGGCCATTGAAAGTGGAAGATATAAAAAGGCTTCAGGTGTTTGACCACCGTTGCCTTCGTAGTATAGGAGGTATTCCCTAGTGTCACCACGTGAGTAATGCAGATGTCAGGTGTAGAGATCTAGGGAGCAGAGATAAATCAGTTGACGAGGTTATGAACCTTCATCGATTGAGATGGTGGAGACACGTATGCCTAGTCACCGATTGCCTCATCACACAATGTTGGCTGAGGTGGGTCCAAGCTGGTAAAAGGCCTGAGGTGACCAGACTGAAACAATGTATGAAGTCTCTGATTGTTGGTTTGAGCCACGTGGGGCGATGCAGAATGGGTGGTTGGGGTCCGCGGGACAAGAGGAACCAGTGGTTGGAGACTCTAGGTGATATGGCTCAGAATCGATGTCAGTGGCACAGATGTATACACACATTATCCTCATCTTAACAACGCTATACCGAATCTCACCATTTTCTCATTCTTCCTTTCTCTCTTTTCGTACTTTATATTTCTTTTGACTGAATTTTCTTATCTTCATCTTGCGCCTCACTGACTTTTTACTTGATGTACTGATATGAGATGTGGCCAGTCGGACCGTTACGCAGTAATGCCTGGCTTTAGGTTGATCTGGATGGATGAAGTGCTTCTTGAAGGTGGAGTGGATTTCAAATGAATTAACCATTAGTCGAGTGCTTTAAGCCATCCATCACAGGAATAGTCAATTCAATAAAAGTAAATTATGCTTATGCAGAAAGTAAAGAGAATTCCTTGAGGAAAACAAAATTTAAACCCAGTCATGTCCTGTTAGGTGGTAGACAAGGATCAATGGTGATCGAAGTGAATAGAAGGAGAATGAGTGGGAAGATCCCTAACAAAGGCAGGACTGATGAGGGAAACCTCTAGCAAAGTCTTCTCCACGAACGAACCATCTATTTTAAAGAGTTATTATGCAGGAGGAAGACAGATAACAGACATCCTGTGTTTAAAATCATCATCTGGTAGAATGTATAGAACAAAAAGAAACAAATTAAGGAGAGAAAGGATGATGAGTCAGTACGTTATTTTCGTGAAACAAAATCAGGAGCATGAAGTACGAATTACATAAGGAATATGTCCATATTTAAACAGTTGGATTGGTTTTCGCAACTAGCGAAAAAACAAGTTCCGAACTTATGAAATATTTGAGAAAAACCATTGAAATTTCACTAATATTATGGAGAGAAATGAGACTGTACAATCCATTCATCATTGTCAATATAGGACCACTCCAAGTTGGCACACACCACGCAACTAGATGACAGAGACGAAAACAATCTAAAAGTGGTGGAAATGTATGTAATAAGCAATGAGATTCATACGTAGCGACAAAAAGGCAGCCAGTAGGGGAGTTTCCAAGTCACGATCAGATCATGATTTGTGCATGCGCTAACATGAGGACCTGATTGGAGAAATTCGACCTCATACAAGAAATCTGATTGGTTCATTTATGGCTTCACTTTATGAGAGTTTTGTAACTACATATATGTCATGTATTTGCCTAATAAAACTTGTTGTTGCTGTTCTTGCAGTCACAGGCCGTCTGTCTTCTGATTTTTTTTGCGGCTGAGTGAAGTAGAAGGTACTGAGGGAGGTTAGTCGTAAAGGTATCCGGTTGAGGTATCTATTGAGTCTCAGTATTCATTATACTCACGCGCTCAACCCCACCACTCGGTCACAACAGAGACAATGCTGAAATTCGGAATAACAGTTGGAGACATATTTACGCCACTGAGATTCATTCTTAGCCATATGATCTAGAGGCTTTAACCACACTGGTTTCTGTTGCCACGTGGAGAACAACTGAGAAGTCTACACTTCTCTACATGGTTCAGATCAGCAACCAAAGAGTTGAATGACTGGTACCATGATCTAGTCTATCTGTCCTCAACCCTTTTCTAGCCTAAATCTACTTCAGATAGTACAGTTATTGGTGAGTTATTCATCGTTTGATAATCATTTCAAGTAATCCTAATTACTGTTTGATATGAAGCATATATTACATAGGTGTACCTAGGCAGCACCGTTTCAGCTACACGCGGCGGCAACACAGATGACGACGTCAAAGGAAGGATCGGAAAGACAGGCCTCCGTTCATTAATCTGAAATTAATGTGGAGCTCTACTGTACTCCACTGCATTCAGCATAAAACGTGAACAACATCCGGATTTTCAACACCAACGTCAAGTCAGTGATTCTATGTGGTGGTTGAGAGACTTGGCCCGTTATGAAAAGCATTTCCAACAAACTACAGACATTCATCAACAGCTGCCACCTACGCTCACTCGATACTGAAGATCAGATGACCAAAATGATAAGAATAAGCAACAAGGAACTCTGACGACGAACCAACCAAGAACCCACCGCCCAACAAATAAGCAGAAGAAAGTGGAGATGGATTGGGCGTAGACTGAGACCACTCGGAGACATCACGCACCAGGCAATCAAGTGGGACCCAAAAGGGAAACGACGAGTTGGGCGTCCTAAATGAGGGTGACATGGAGGAGAACGTGTGCGGAAGAAACAAGAGCTTCTAGACAGTCGTGGCGCCAGGTTCAAAAGACTAGAGGGAACAGAGTGCAATGGAGGCGTGCTACTGAAGGCCTGTGTTCCAGTAGGAACCCAAAGGACAAATAATAATCATAATAATACATAGGTGTACAAGAAACAGTTCGTTTCACTTTATCACTTTTAGCTCTCTCTGATATTTGCCCAGTGTTTACTTCTACAGAGGATGGCCAAATGAGCGTATTGAGTCGTAAGTTATCAACCAGTAAGTGAGAATAATCAATTTTGTCCACTTACCACTAGGTGAACACCAATAGTGTACTTTTTTTGGCATAAAACATCACCTGCATAACGAATAAGAACAAATGTGTGTATAGTATAGAGGATATTTGGTAAAACAACTCAACTTTTCATATACTTGTCTGCTTAAAACTCCAAATATTACATAACAGAGGATAAAGTAAGGAAAAAAAGCAATGAAACTTCTTGTACAATACATGATTAAGTAAACGGAGAGATTTATAAATTGATAAATCTGAGTTGACAACAACTCTTGTTTATTTTCAACAAGGCTGCCATAAACAGAAGAGAAAAATAAGAAAAAAAAACAACAAAGAAGCCAGGTGCTAGAGAAGAGAAAAATCATGACGGACTGGATAGAAATATCCATAATAATAATAATAATAATAATAATAATAATAATAATAATAATAATAATGATTGATACTAGAATATAGAAAAAGAAAGGCAAAATAGCACGGGGTTTTCAATATTTATTTGACATAACAGACAAACAAAAAGGCGCTCATTGTACACTGTCTAAAATGTAACGAATGTGACAGAAGAAGAAATAAAACAATTCAAAACAAAGTTTTTACGCATGATTATTCTAATTTTTGTTATTGTGTGAATCATCAAGTGAAATGGTGCATAGTAAAAGTATCCTGCTGCTGCTTCTGATGATGATGTTGGTAAAGAAATTGCGTTGAGAAATGAACATGTACAGGGATTAACTAAATAACCTAACAATGTTAGGTGGTAAACGCAGAAATTACCAGAAAAATGAATCAATCCCACATGGATAGACAATATTATGAATTACAATAGATACTGACTGATTTATGACAGAATTAATTGCACAATTCAATTCATTAGGTAAAATAAAAGTATTACTCTATCAAGATGAATATTAAATGCAAAAGTGATGTAATTCAAAAACTCCAGAAGGTTGAAAAAATTTATGTACATGTATACACACCAGGAGAAAATAAACACACACACACACACACAAATACATGAAAAATAGGCATATAAACCTAACATGAGTGGAACAAACTAAGGCACAAACATATTGGCATAGAGATTCTTTTGCGAGAGAAATATACAACTTGAAAAAGAATAACTTTGATGATATTCGATGAAATGACTGAAAAAAGTGGTGTATATCTGAACATTGGTATCCTATCACGACTTAGATCTTCACAATTCATACAACTTGATCTCACAACAGATGATAAACATAAACAGACAGGAAATGGCAGAAAGAACATCAAGAGAAATAAAAATTAGTTTATGACAAAAAAAAGAAGAAAAGAAGACATGTACCAGCTATGAACAAAAGAGAACAATATGAGGCGCTATCAATTATAACATACAGTATGAATAACAATAAATAAACAAGTAAATAAATGAATAGATAAATAGACAGATAGATTATGGCGCTATTGTCTAGGCTGTTGATGTTCTTATTAGACGCAAGTGGGATGGAAGAATCATTTAACACTTAAACATGATGAAATTTTGCTCCCCGGGAAGAAAAATATTCAACTGGAACACTATGAGATGTATATGACGATGAGAATGTGGATTGAGTGAATAAAGTGAGGTACTAGTACTATTGCTACTATTGATCGCAGAAATATTCAAAGTGTAAATAATTTATGAAACTGATGAAATTGGATTTCTTGGTGTACCCATTTGTGTAAGTACACGATCAAGCCATTGTAATGGACCATTCAAATGAATTTCAACCCAACATGGTGTAGAAGTGACATCTTGTCGATGATATTCTGCACCCCAACCTTTAACAAAACTCATACGTATTGTACACATTTTAGTTAATTCATAAACAGCTTCAAAACCATGATGTACAGTACGACTGAGTAGATGAGCAAATTCTTGATTAGAAAATATTTTCAATGAACAACCCGGTGGAATTTTGCATACTGTAGTAGGATGAAAATTATGATGATAATTACAATTACGTGATTGTACAAAAATACTACTATCTGATAAACATTCCGCGTATACCTCACCGCCAACATAATATAGATGAACACCTATATGATTATAAGAAAAAATAAACAAAAGTCTTATTTAAATTGAGAAAGAAAACAAATGAAAACACTTTATAAACATAACTTGCCCAATAAGATCATTAGATTGTTACGATATAACAGTATATATCAACGAATGAGTGGATCTGTAACGCATTCGGAATCTTGTTCATTCACCTTCCAATTTCGATTTCTGGACTGCCTCACCTCTATGCTGTCAAGATCTACTGTTTGTCAATTATCTTTAATTATTCCTGCGTACTTGCTGAGTAGCCGGCTCACCTTTTTCTCTTCCTCTTTTCCCTTCCAGATTCTCATGGTCATCACTAAACTCACACTAATTCTGTGCGTCCCCCTGTAACAACGTACTTATCTACAAGCTAGACGAAAACGTATCAACAACTGGTCGTTACATTTTGGTGTCGAGGGTGGGATCCAGCTCGCTCACAATCAGACCGACGTGGACTCAACAGCAGCTATCGACTCGAATTTAACTTGCACCAGCTTTATACACCCCATAACTACCCTCTAGCTAACTCAGGTACAACCAGGCGCTGAGTGCAGTGTTTTTAAAGAAGGGGAAGAAATGTAACGCATTCGAAATCTCACTCATCCACCTACCGGTTTCCATTTTTAGACTGCCTCACCTCTTCGTTGTCAAGATCTACTGTTTAACAGTTATCTTTTATTATTCAATGTAAGTACATCCTGTGTACTTGTTGAGTCGCCGGTTCACCTTTTTCTCTTTCTCTTTTCCCTCCCACATTCTCATGATCATAACTAAACTCACACTACTGTGTGCAGCCCCTGTAACAACGTACCTACCAACAGGCTAAACGAAAACGTATCAACAACTGGTCATTACAAATCTACGAGCGAAGGGGGGGACTTAAAAGGACACCCTAGCAACTGCTGAGATGACCAATCAGGCTACGGTATTTCGCCTGGAAAAGTGCTTTTCCACAAAATCAAGGGATCTAATTGGCTGTCTAATCAGTGACTAGAATGACCTTTAAAGTCACTGGGAAAGGGAGTTAAGCAAAAAAAACAGCTTTAAAAGGAACAGGCAGATTTCTTAGTACTTGCATTATTATTTATAGACAAAAAATTACTAAACCAGTAAGAATACTGTTAGAGAATATAAGGTGTTCTTTGGTGAGGCAGTAACCAAGGGATCAATATCACATTCAACACTTGTAAACAATCAGATAAGCTATAACCCTTTTTTATACCAGTCAGTTTTAATGAGAATCCTTGAACAGACCTTCCAAAGGATATCGGTAATCAGTTCAATAGGTATCAAAATCTCCACTTTATTGAATCAAATAAGTTTCAGCTAAGCATAACGAAATGTAAGCTGTACAGTTGATCATATTATTTACTACTGAATTGAAACTTTACCTTGGTATATTGAGATAATCTATCACCGACAGACACATAAAACCGACGTAGAACTTCGCACGCAAGTGCATTAGTTCAACTTTCCCCAATTCACAGTAGCATGCAAACAACAAGTAGTTAGAAAAAGAGTTAGTTCCAAGTAGAGAGAGTTGCGTGAGAGAATAAAGAATCTGACGATAACAGTTAGAGCGAATATTCAACCTTTAAAAGACGTCAAGAAATGAATACATCTGTGCCACCATGACCGATTTTCAGTCATTTCACCAAGAATCCTCGATCACTGATTCCTTTTGTCTCGGACACTCCAACCAGGCAGTCTGCATTTCCTCATACGCTTCAGTATAACATTGATTCATTCGCAATTTAACATCCTGCTATTAAGCTATTCCAATCAATGCTGAGTACTTAAAAACTTTCCTATTTCATTCATATTTCATACACGCGCATCATCACCCCGAAATACATTGAAACATTACTTTGATTCATATATTATTGATGGATAGTGACTAGCAGTAGAATCTAGGATGCGTGTTTCATCCTATTTGGGACTCATCAGCTAGATGTATCCGCCTCCAAATCAGCGATGTTGGTCCCATTAGGACTCGAACTCGGGACCGATCGCTTCAAATGACAGAGGGTTATCCACTAGACCACAGTCACGAGAAGCACCTCTCGTCCAACAAGTATAGTTGTAATGTTGTTGCTTGTATTATCCCCATCGTTGAGTGGACTGAATCGACCGGTCTCTACTGGCATATGGGCTCCTGCTCAAGTACCGCCGTCAAATTCTCTTTTATACTGGGGTGATGATTGAAGGTGAAATGAAAATTTGACCCAAGGCCGGATTCCCTTTCAGTTTTTTGAATCATTTAAATGTTTTCTGAACGCATCATGTATTCTACCACATTTCCAAAATGTTTTCGAACTTTCGTTTCTCAAGCTAAGAACGAAATAAAAGAAAAACGTTCCGCGGGTTGGAAATGGATTTTTAAATGATCACAAATACACAGCATTACTATTTCTAGGATACACCTGTATATGGGATTGTGGGTTTCTGCGATGACTGACTGAACTGTCACCATCGAAATTACACTCGATTTTGTGTTAATTTCAGAGTCGAGAACAGATGCTAATGTAGCACTATGTGCCCGTTTCACAAACTATACTCATCGGACGAGAGGTGGTCCTTGTGACTCTGGTCTAGTGGATAACCCTCTGCCGTTTGAAGCAATCGATCCCGAACTCGACTCTTAGTAGGATCAACATCCAGCTGACGAGTCCTGAATAGGACGAAATACGCGTCCTAGATTCCACTGCTAGCCACTATCCATCATTCATATATACACATGAGATATCGAGACATGCTCACAGGAGCCCATATGTTAACAGAGACTGAACAATTCAGTTCACTCAACGATGGGATAATACAATCAACAATATTACTTCAATTCCATTCGAAAATATTTACTGTAGTACGAATAAACAACTATTCCATTTCACAGATGAACACTTAAAGTCACTATATGAACAAATTTACACGCAAGGATGAGAAACATTGTGTAGTAAAAACAACAACAAAATTTTATAAAATATTTCCGGTAGACATTTCTCTTTCTCCTTTTTTCATCCAGAGGATAGTGTGAAATTTCCAGTATTTAGTAAACAGATGATGAGTACAACCGGCTCCATACTTAGATAATGTTTTTTTTTGTAAAAAAAAAAAGAAATCACGAAACCTACACAAAATCATTTTTAAGAGAAACAAAAAATAAAAATTCGTAAACGACTATTAATCTTTGAACCGAATGTACACTGATAATGATCAGGAGAAATAACATTAGTGTAGGTATATTGTTAGGATACGTATTCAAAAAACAAAACAAAACATTCAATCATGGTATGTACAAACATCAAGAGGCAGACACATATGTGTATTCGAATGATGATGAATGCTTAACTACTTTTTTCTTCTTCTTACAATTGAAATAAACAATCATTTGTTTGTCGATTTCAACACACCCTGTTCCTATCTCATTTTCATCAGGGAAACGTGTAGAGAAGAGAGGGAGATGGATTGGATATACACTGAGAAAAACGTTTGGGGATATCACACTCCAGGCCAGGCCATCGAGTGGAACCGAAATAGGAAACGACGAGTTTGGCGAAGGCGACATGAAGGAGATCATGTGAGGAAGAAATGAAAACTTATGGAATAGTCATGGAGCCAGATTCAAAAGATTTCAGAGGATAGAGTTCACTGGAGACGTGCTATTGAAGCCCTATGTTCCACTAGGAACCCAAGGAACAAATGACAATGATGAATGTTGCATTATTCAATTCTACGTATCAACAGAATATACACCATAATACATAGTAGTACAATTTAACTTATACAAGTGTTACATACTAGAGACTAGGATGCGCATGGACTCCTATGTGGATGTCTTGATATCGTCTGACTATTCATTATGTTGTAATTTTCTTGGTAGCGGCTATTAGTGGAATCTAGGATGCGTTTCTTCCTATTTTGGATTCATCAGCTGGATATACCTGCACCTCAGTGAGTGGTGTTGACCTCACTGAAACTCGTACTCAATTTCTACCGCCTTAAAAGTTAAAGCGTCATTCACCAGGCCACTGGGGGGTAGCTATCAACAAGCAGATTACAACATAATGAATAGTTAGTTCATATCCAGGCCAATCAGTTCCATCAAGGATAACAAGGGGAAACTGCAAGTACCAGACACTGATACCCACTGCACAAGAAATGGCTCTTGTGGTTCACTAGAGTGCATATTGGATAACATTTTCTCGTTTGAAGTCATAAGTGCTGAGTTCGAGTCCCAGTAGGAACAACATCCCTTACTGGTGTGCAGGTATGTTCGGCTGACAAGCCTCAAATAAGAAGAAAGGTGCGTCCTGGGTTCTACTGTGAGCCACACTCATTGATTGAGGGTTTACGGTACTAACTGTTCACTCAAGTTGGAGTTAGCGAAGTGAGCTCTGAAATCGGGACTCTTCGTTAGAAAGCCATGTGTCGAAGAAGATAAGCCACATATCCACAGAATAAACACTGTGAAAGTGAAATCTTAATTAAAATTGACAATTGTTATGCTTCTGAATGACTAAATAATATCCAAAAAAACTAAACTATATGCAACTATGAACGTGTTCATGCACCGTGTAAAGGGGTCGAACGTGTTATGTGAGGCCAGATGTTACTATCCAGCTAACTAGACTTATTATAGTTGGAGTGGTGTTTGGTCGGTCCTGTGACCCACTGGTTGAAAGTTAACTAACTTTACCAATGAGTTACAGCTCTCCTTTCCTCTCCGTGGTGATACCGTACCTATGTTATTCTAATTTTTAAAATAGTCATCAAAATATTGGCTTATTTTGCCTACAGTGGTGTTTACTATCGAATAGTAACTCTTGTATGAAAGTGTTCGATGTGAAGTCATTACAATAAGGCTTATTATTTCGTTGAGTCCTTCCATTAACGTGAAACAGCTAAAATGAATAGTTATTAAGTAGCGTCTCGGTACTGGGTGATCACTGAAGGTGAAATGAAAACATTTGGTCTGCGGCCGGATTCGAACCAG